GCTGGTGTCAGATCCTCAGGTGAGGTTAATTGGGTGGGGGGGGGGGATCTTTTATGTATTTGTTGAGCATGTTTGAAGTGGAAGCAACCGTGACAGCAGACAAAGAATACCACAATGGCATTTTTAGAGCCACCTTTAAAACTGGACCCTAAAGGTCTGGCTCCTGCAGGTGTTCTGCAGGGCCAAATTCACAGGTCTCCACGTGTTTTCACCTATGCAGAAGTACTTGCTTTCTTGAAGAAACAAGAGCCAGAAGCAGTAGCTAGACTCAACCTTAGAAACCACCAAACTGCTTGGATCTAGAAGTTAATTTTTTCTCTTGGAGCTGAGAAGCATGCAACAATGAAGTATACTATCTGTTCAGCATAAAATTTACATATGCCATCAATAACAACGTTAATTGTCACCACCTCAGCTCATCTTTGTCGGATTTCTAAACAGTATTCTCAGGAATTTTTCAGGAAAGGGCGCTCTTGGGTTTGCTCTGTACTGGGTGAGCACATTTTATAGTTCCAGGAAGAGCCTGGCAAAGCAGGAACCTTCATAAATACACTTCAGAGTACAGAAGGTTCAAGCAGAGAAATATAATTTAAAAGTGAATTTATTTCTCTGAACTGGCATGAAGGGAAAATGTTACTGGTGAACAGCCGTATCTACAATCCTCAGATGAATGTTACTGAAGGTTCTGTTTATTTTAAGTGCAGCAGGAACAGCTTTAATTTCCTTATAAAGATTCTACAGGACAAGGTAACATCTCCTTTGGGAAGTGAATGCAGAAAGGACTCAAAATTTTGCCATCTTTACTGAGATAGGTTGAATGAGTCAGTGCTTCATAATGACGTGCATTAATATGCATGGCCACTTTGTTTCATCAATAAAAAGCCAAATAGCTTAAATGACTAAAGGCAGAAACAGCTTTTGTTACGCATACACATAAGTTTTAAATTCTCTGGTAGCTCCGCAGTCCTGGAAAAGGCTACTTTTAAATAAAATTATATGGAAAAAATATACATAAGTACATTGTGCACTTGAAGAAAAACCATACGCATACTTTATGCTGATCAAATGTTTTCTATTATAATCTACATCTTTCCCAGTCTGAGGGACACTTGCCCAGCACTTCACTGAATGATACAGAGTGTAACGAGAAACCAGGTAAGAGATTTTCTGGTGTGTTGGGCATGAAGAGCAAGAACAGATCTGCAGAAATGAGAATTTTTAAGGCATATTCTCAACTGACCTATTTACTAGAGTTAAGGATGAAGCCACCAGAGCCTTTGTTTTCAGGCATTTGAAGTGAAAGGAGCAATGCAATTTTATGTTCACAAACAACCTAGTTCCTAGAGACCACGGCTGCGGTTCTCACCTGTTGCTTGTACCCTAGAACCTTAATTCAAATACGGTATGAAATAACTGTTTATCAGGGCATGTTAGGAGAACTGATTTTAAACACCATCAACATTGCACCAAGCAAATAAAATTACAACTTACTGATTTTTAGAAGTCTCAAATGAGTCACAAAATACTTATCTAGCTATGCTTTAGAAATGCTAGTATCACTTCTTGTTCTGCTATCACAAGTGATTAATAGCACACCTTTTTCTCTTCTTACACATGTAAACATTGCCTGGTATATAACCTAATAACCTTTTTTATTTGAAAACATAGACTCACTACTTGTATAAGAAGAAATGTGTGAATGGCCCAGGTAAGGAAATCCTAAACATCCCTATTCTAACTGAAGCTAATGCATTAAATAGGGATCCCATATCCTATTCTAAGTAAAAAATGGTGGAAGAGAGTCTTGGCCTCATCTCTGCCAAAAAATGAAATCAAACTAAGTACCTTGCACTTCGCTCCTTCCTTGTAGGAGGGGCATCATTCACGTGTTGGTTTAACTTTCAATCTTAACACACATCACTCATGCTTTGCAGAAGGTATCTTGGGGAAGTTTACAAACATCCCTGCCAGATGGATAACCCAGACTTAATATCAATTCATTTTGGAGAAGTTTTATAAAAATCTGGAATTTAGATTTGGTTCCAACTGCAGCAAGATAAGCAGTTATGTTACTTCAAAACTGAAGTTGGTTCTTTTTGGTTCTGCTCCTCAGAAGACTTCTGTAAACAACAACTGTGAGTCTACGTACAAGATGACACTGTTGATTTCCATATAACCTTGTTATCATACAAAGTCGTAATTGTGGTGGGCAAGACTGTCATGGACGATCACAGTCAGTTCCGTACAAGAACTATATACTGAAAATAGATATATAGGGATTGATATTGGGCCCAACGCTGTTTAGTATCTTCAGAAGTGACCTGGATGATGGGATCAGGTGTACCCTGATGAAGTTTGCTGATGATACCAAACTCAGTGGGGAAGCGGACACTTGAGAGACACCCTGCAGAAAGACCTGGATCGGCTGGACGAGTGGGCTAACAAGAACTTTATGAAGCTCAACAAAGACAAACGTAAGGTCTTGCACCTGGGAAAACACAATCCAGGAGTGCAGCACAGGCTGGGATCTACCCGGCTGGCGAGCAGTTCTGTGGAAAAGGACCTGGGGGTCCCGGCGGACAAGCAGCTCGGTATGAGTGAGCAGTGTGCTGCTGCGGCAAAGCAAGCCAACAGAATGCTGGGTTGCGTCAACAAGGGCATCACCAGCAGAGATAAAGAAGTCATTATCCCACTCTACTCAGCGCTTGTCAGGCCACACCTGGAACACTGTGTTCAGTTTTGGTCCCCGCTATACAAAGAAGCTGTGGACAGGCTGGAGAGGGTCCAGAGAAGGGCCACAAAGATGACCCAAGGACTGGGAAGCCTGCCCTATGAGGAAAGGCTGAGAGAACTGGCTTTGTTCAGCCTTGAGAAAAGAAGGCTTAGGGGAGACTTTATCACCATGTTCCAGTACTTACAGGGTGGCTACAAAGAAGACGGAGACTCCCTTCTTACAAGGAGTCGCCTGGAAAAAACGAGGGGTAATGGGTACAGGTTACTCCTGGGGAGATTCCAATTGGACACAAAAGGAAAATTTTTCAAAATGAGAACAATCAGCCATTGAAATAATCTCCCCAGGGAAGTGGTGGATTCCCCAACATTGGACACTTTGAAGATTCAGCTGGACAAGGTGCTAGGCCATCTTGTATAGACCGTGCTTTTGCCAAGAAAGGTTGGATCAGATGATCCTTCAGGTCCCTTCCAACCTGGTATTCTATGAGTCTATGAAAATCTTCAACTGGACTCTGCTGAAGCAGAGGGGCAGTACATAAATGGGAACACTAGGGTCAGTACTCACGAAGCTCCGGGCTCTGAAAAAGAAGCATGCCTTGGGACTTTCCTTTACAGACAGAACTGCAGTAGTCCAGCATAAACACTAAAAATGTATTTATCTTTACGAACAGGTTTACACTGGCTACAGCTAAGAAAAAAACTTCTTGGTCAGCTTTGGATAATAACAAACCTCTTGCCAATCTCAGCAGATGTGACAACAATTGGCTAGGATCTAAGTGTTCAAAGGTGACAAGTGTCACCAAAATTATTTTCAAAGCATATTTAAGGTTCATATCACACTAGTAATAACAACAAAAAAAACAACTAAGGAAGACACTAAAGATACTGAAAGGATAGGATTTGTATTCTTCAATAGGTGCATCTCCTGCTGTCTATTCCCCATCATAAGGCATGACGGGAGATCCCTATCAGCTGCATAACTTCAGACTTTTCTTTTTTTTCTTACTATACAGAGAACTATTATTTTAGGTGGAGACAGTATACAACTAACACGCTGAAAAAGAAGTAGGTTACTTTACAGTGGCGAGACTGGGATTCAGTTTTTTGCGGTTTATTTCCTCAGCTCCCCAAAATCACGTGATCTTTAGCAAGAAACTGAACTGAACTTCTCACTGATCACAGGGACAGAACTGGAATTCTTAAGTTTTTTTCCCCCAGAATTTTCATACCATTCTTCTATTCCAGGTTTCCACGACCAAGCTGCAGTTTCCAGCTCTGAAAGTTTGCACTGGCATGTCACAAGTGACTCCTCACAAACCTCCACTATGTAGAAATATAGCCTCAGGCTGTGAGAGACTAGCCAACCCTACAGGAGCAGGGCTAAATAACAAAAACCCCTACAAGACTGAAAGATAAGAATGATCAAAGGAAAGAGTCTAGGAGACAAGCATGACAAGAAAAAACAGAAACAAGCAGACAAAAAAATTAATAAGGATGAGAAGGAAAGATTCTCTGCATTGAGGAATACTGAAACAGTCAATTTTTGAAAGGAAGTGGGGGCAGAGATGTAGGCCACTTCTGTATTATTCATTTTATTCATTTGTTAAACAAGGACAACCCCACTTATTAATCTACTGAAACAATACAAGGATTAATTCCCCATCTGTGCAATACTTCCAAAGCCTCATACAAAAGCACCAATGAAACTGAGTGTTTTGCTCAGTGTTTGTTGTAGTAACAGGTATACAAGGATCACCACCAGATTATTCCTGTGTATAGATAGACCTTTAGTCAAAGTTACAAAGTTCCCACATGGAAAAGCTTTGACCTTTTGGCTCCCACACAGCAAAAAACACTTCTGCAATAACTACACACACCTGCCTGCCTACATTAAATTACGTAGAAGAGACCTCTACGCAAACTGAACTGACTGCAAATCTCTCTTCTGCTCAAGATATCAAGAACATGATCAAGATCATAAGAGGCACAGAAAACTAAGTGTATTTAATTGAAGTTGATGGGCAGGGAGGAGAGGGGAAGGACAATTTGCCAAAAGAAAAATGCAGATATGGCCAAATCCTGCCCCTGGACATACTGCTCACTCATTTCATGACACCACACAAATCACTTCCTAACTTTTTGTCTCAGGACCTCCCATCAGCAGCCAGCCATGAAGAAAGGATGATATGCCTACTACTACTCCCGTAAAATCAGCTGAAGATCTACAAATTAGTTCTGCAAGGAATGCATGTGACTTAAATACTCACCGCTGGAGCTTCCAGGAGTACTGAACTGGGAAGTTTCAAGGAACTTTCGAGGTGTAGATAAGTTAGTAACATCCATAAGAGGTACAGGAGAGGCATCTTTCACAAGTGAACTGTGTGAAAGGAGAGAATTAAACAGTTTACTATTATTTACAAAATTAGTTCACAACAAATTATCCATTTATTTCTTAAATTTGTAAGCCTAAGCAATAGATATACATAACACACAGTTTTGATACAAGAGGTTTACAAAACCTAACTTAAAGCAGAAGTCCGCAGATGAATACAAGTGGATGTCTATATATACACGTTTGACTGAAAAGGGAAAAAGCAAAAAAACGCAATGATGAGGGAATGCTGTCATGTCAAAGGCAAAATTTGTTATCCCAAGGCCTCTGTGAATTTAATAGCACTCTAGACTTGTCTGACTGGTCACAGCAACACGATCAGGACACAGGCACGTTGGAGCTTGCCATAGCGCGTGATTTATTTCCTGGCAGACGCGTTCACCTCCAGCACAATTAACTACTGCTAGCATGATGATAAATTAACATGGAATTCTTAAGATCTTTCTGGAAAACTACATATTGAGGAGAAGAGATGCTCCCATTTCCATGGCTTCTGTCAACTACTTAATCATTCAAGCTTTTCTAGCTCCCACTAGAAACCTCCACTCTTTTTCCTCCCCTTCAAATTCCTGTTCTGTGCACACCTACATGCATCCCTCTCCAAATGAACCTCCTCAGAAAGGAAAGACTTTCTGCTTGGTCATTTTCATAATAAATTCACATAGTATTATTTGCCAGAAATTTGTCATGCTGCCCCAGCTGCATAATGAAAGGCATAAAGCTGGAGGTGGCAGGGGAACACAAGCAAGAAATCATTTTTTAAGAGAAAGAAGTGGAGAATGCTCCTGTAATAGGGTTCAGTATGTTCCCTTAGAGATCAAAATGCTTATAGAAACCTGCAAAGACAAAGGCTAAGCTTACTGTCCTGCATAAGAACCACCTATACTCCCTATACACCTACAATACCATACTTACAGGGATTAGCTATGCATTCCAGCTTAGCAGTGTTAGACAGAACACACTTAAAACCAATACAAGAAATAATTATAAACGTTATTGCATCCTGGTCAACAGCCAGTCTAGGGCAACATGCTGAAACAAAGCAACAAGACTGTCTGTGATGCAAGAGTTCATGTTACCAAATATCAATGATGTGCAACAGGGAATGTGAAAAAAAAGATAGAAAAGAAGAAAACGGATACCTGTAGCAGTTGCACAAAACTGCAGTTAATTAGCAGTCGCATAGTCTGGGTACGCCAAAGCTTTGTGTCTGTTTTTAATTAACAAGATGAGTAAGGAAGAGACTGATGACTTGCTAGCAACCTTCCTTCCTAGAAATTTCAACTTCAATCAATCCTTTATTTCTTAAATTCATTTAATGTAACTTACTATCTCTCCTCTTATTTTTGGTAAGCATTTTTTATTCCTTCTCATAATAGAATACTAATTTTATCTTTTCTCTACATCTTTATCATATGCTGGCTCCCTTTTTGCTCCCAGCCCCTGTTTATGACCTCTCCTACTCTACAACAGTTATCTTCCAATACTGTGTGCCTCTTTTCTAGCCACTATCTTTCTTCCTTCCAACAACTCTATTGCCCTGAAACTTCGAATTCGCAAAATTAGGAAAAAATAGCCAGGCACCTACACTTAAGCTGAGTTTCCACTGATCTGAGGCACCAACCAGGTAAGACGTTTCAACGTCTTTAAAACACCATAGAAACACAACAAGAGCCATGACACTCCTCAGGCACTTCATAAGGTTACTAGCCATAGGGTGCAATATTGGTTAGCTGGAAATCTTTTAAACCTTGGACATTTGCTAGAAAAGATGACCAGTCTTTCCCTGTGTTCTTCCCTTTGCCTGACCTGAGCCTCATGATCATGACATTTGTAGGAAAGGTATATGCATCAGACAAGGAAAAGAATGCTAAAAGGAACTGACCTCATCATTATTCTGTGGGAAACGGCACAAAACCAACAGAATCACTAAGCAAAAGTGAAAGAAGGATAACAGACTGTTCACAGGCTTCAAGGTGCATGAACATATTTGGAGTTTTTCTGCTCTCCACAGCCATGAACCTGAGAAATTTGCTTGCCAAAAATGAAAGGTTGAGGTCTAAGTCGATGGCACTTTCCCAAGAAAGTGTCTCCTTATGAAAGGGAGAATATAGTCTTCTTCCCCCCCAGACCTGTTGTCAGTTAGCATCACACCAAACCCACCTTATTCTCCCTTTCTCCTTGTTGCGTTGTCCTACTCGGTTAGTTGATTTGATGTAAAGATGACGGTGTAATTCATCTATCAGGACTAAGTGCATGTTCATCTTCTTACTGTGGAGCTCCAGTCTCAGATCACTCAATCCCTCCACCTGAAGAAGGGGACCCTCCAAGGAGTCTACCGCTGACACCTGGAAGGAGAACACATTGACAACTTTTAAAGGTCAATTCATTTATCTCTCAGGACTTTTCTCTTTGATTTGGGGAGTGTCTGAATACCATGATAATTCTATCCATACACTTTTAAAGCAGAAAACATTTAAGTACTATTTCTTTATTTCTATTCCTAAAAGAAAATTCAATATATAAAAAGGGTCTAATATGCGAACAACTCAGATTTAATGAGCGGTCATCAAATATTTTGAGCATATGTATAAAACAACTTATTTAAACACAGCCTGTTAAATAAAAATCAAAGCACAGTTTATCACAAAATAAGAGGATTATCAAGTAGAAAAGTGTTAGAAAACAATACTGACAATGATGTTTGATTGTCTTCATTCTTTTCATTACAGAAACACCAACAAAACATTATTCTCAATTCTACAAATGGGGAGAAGATGGCTTAAACTTTATTTGCTTAAAGTGATGTCATGACATAGCTGAAAAAGCTTAGAAGGCCTCATGTTCTAGTCTACATAGCTGCTATGTCATGCAACTACACAATTTAAATAAACATAGCCATCAGCTTAATGAAAACTATTGCTAGTTCAAAGGTACTTTTGAACTCTAAAGAGTGTGGGGTCTTTTTAATGCTCAATTATTAAGGCTCAAATTAAGCAAAATAACTTTATACAAGCAACAGAGTAACAGACAAGGATCTTGACAAACAGCAACGTAAACAGGCCATAGATAACATTTCTCTACTGATGCACTTCAACAGTGACCAGCTGACATCCAGTGGGCACTAGACTAAGGAATCTAATTTACATTTGTATCCTAAAAACAAACGTGGACAAAAGCCACCAGGAATGACAAATCAGTGCACAAAAGCAACGCTGTCAAATTGCATCTCTCCCAGATTGTTTTTCAGAGCACTTCCACAGTTACAAAAAAAAAAAAGTCATCCCTCTGCAGTTTCCAAAATCTCAGTGCTGATTTTGTAAGAAACTACAAATAACATGATCTGCACACAGAGATTTAAAATTAAAAAAAAAAAAAAAAAAAATCATTCCCTAATAACTGAAGATACTATTAGTGAAAGAAGACATTTGCTTGCACTTCAGGATTTAAGTTTATAGCAAAACCTGTCAGGTAAACATTAAAAATGAAAAGCAAGAACATACAGTAAGTAGACAGCCAAACTAAGGTCTGGTCCCTTAATACCAGTAAATATTAATTATACTGAAAGAACATCTATCAACGCTGTATTACACTGCTTGCCTCCAAGTCAAGATTGACCCTGAAATAGCTTTGGGGCAGTTAGGCTTTTTAAATTAAGAGCAGTTTCTAAGAAGAAAATGCACTTTTTCCTGACTCCTGAAAAATTTTGCCAAGAAATCCCTAACTATGAAATTCTCTTGTCTGCATGGATGATGAGAGCATGGACTTGCTGCCAGTGTTCAGGCTAGAGCTCAGTCTTCAGAAAGAATTTGTATCACAGTATTAATCACAGAGGACTGAACGGGCCCCTCCTAAGCCCACCAACGCTGCAACTTCAACAGCATTTACAGGTTTCCTAGCACTTGACACAAAAAGCACTATCCATCCTCTTTCTTCCCAGTATCTATTTGTGAACAGTAATGCAAGTTTGGCCATAACACATCAGAAAACCACACCACACATGAAGCAAAAAAACCCGAATTTGCTTCTTCCCAAAAAGCTGACATGCCACTGTAAATACAAATAGAGAAGGCTCAACAGGCATGCAGACACAGCTTAGAAACCTTTGGCAGAAGTGTAAGTGCTAATTTTTATCTTCTTCCTTTGGCAGGTAGAGATGCACCCCAAATTTCCCAATTCCAAAGGCGCTTTAACCCCCCCAGTCACTTCAGGAGAGTTAGAGTCATTCATCACTGCCCTGAAAGCTGTCAGCAATTTCACCAAAGCAAGAACAAGATCAGGAACAACATTTGTCAAACTGAGAAGCTGAGAGATGAAAATGCAGTGAGAGCAGAACTGAAAGCAAGCAGGAAAATGACATTAAAGAGGTTCCAAGACATCCAGGAAAAGTATTATCTGAAACACAAGCAGCAAAAATTCAAAGCTTTCTGCTCAGATCATCTGGCTCTATTTTTATCTTCCCAGTTCCTAAAGAGTTAGTTATTCTCAAAACTAATTAAGATCAATGTACAGCTTTCAAGCACATGTTCTAAGAAGCAAATGGAACAATTGTTTATTGCACTTTAAAAAAAAAAAAAAAAAAAAATCAACAAAACAAAACCAAACCCCCCCATATTGTTATGCACTGAAATTTCTCCTTCTAGAAAAAGCTGTTTGTGTTTGGGTTTTTTTTTTTATTTGGTGGGGTTTGTCAGGTGGTTTTTTTAATGGCCTTTCTGACACTTCATATTTGCAGTCAGACAACCTGGAAATTCTGTCCTCGATAAATGCCACTTTCACAGTGATTGAACTCTACAGGTGAATAACAAAGGCGAGTTTCAGTGTTATGCACTCAGAGCCCATTAACTTCAGGCAGCCCCACTCCAGTAAAACCTCACTTAACCATGAATTATCTAGACAGAGCGCAGCAGAAAGTCATAGAATCACAGAATGGTTTGGGTTGGAGGGGGCCTTGAAGACCATCTAGTTCCAACCCCCCTGCCATGGGCAGGGACACCTTCCACTACACCAGGTTGCTCCAAGCCCCATCCAACCTGGCCTTGAACACTGCCAGGGATTTGGCATCTACCACCGCTCTGAGCAACCTGTTCCAGTGCCTCACCACCCTCAAAGTGAAGAGCTTCTTCCTTACACCTAATCTAAATATGTTCTTTTTCAGTTTAAAGCCATTACCCCTTGTCCTATCACTACCTGCCCTTGTCAAAAGCCCCTCCCCATCTTTCTTGTAGGCTCCCTTTAGGTACTGGAAGGCTGCTAGAAGGTCTCCCCAGAGCCTTCTCTTCTCCAGGCTGAACAACCCCAACTCTCTCAGCCTGTACTCACAGCAGAGGTGCTCCAGCCCTCTGATCATCTTCATGGCCTCCTCTGGACTCGCTCCAACAGGTCCATGGCCTTCTGATGTTGGGGGTCGCAGAGCTGGACGCAGTACTGCAGGGGGGTGTCACCAGAGCGGAGCAGAGGGGCAGAATCCCCTCCCTCGACCTGCTGGTCACGCTGCTTTTGATGCAGCCCAGGGTACGGTTGGCTTTCTGGCCTGCGAGAGCACATTGCCAGGTCATGATGAGCTTCTCGTCAACCAACACCCCCAAGTCCTTCTCCACAAGGCTACTCTCAATCCACTCAGCGCCCAGCGTGTATTTGTGCTTGGGATTGCGCCGACCCATGTGCAGGACCTTGCACTTGGCCTTGTTGAACTTCAGGAGGTTCGCACAGTCCCACCTCTCAAGCCTGTCGAGGTCCCTCTGGATGACATCCCTTCCCTCCAGCGTGTCGACCGCACCACACAGCTTGGTGTGGTCGGCAGACTTGCTGAGGGTGCGCTCAATCCCACTGTCCATGTCGCCAAAAAAGATGTTACACAGCGCCGGTCCCAGTACCGACCCCTGAGGAACCCCACTCATCACTGCTCTCCACTCGGACATCGAGCCGTTGACCGCAACTCTTTGAGGGCGACCATCCAGCCAATTCCTTATCCACCGAGTGGTCCATCCGTCAAATCCATGTCTCTCCAATTTAGAGACAAGGATGTCGTGCAGGACAGTGTCACTTTGCACAAGTCCAGGTAGATGATGTCAGCTGCTCTTCCCTTATCTACCAACACTCTAACCCCGTCATAGAAGGCCACCAAATGCGTCAGGCACGATTTGCCCTTAGTGAAGCCATGTTGGCTGTCACCAGTCACCTCCTTACTTTCCACGTACCCTAGCATAGTTTCCAGGAGGATCTGCTCCGTGATCTTGCCAGGCACAGAGTGGCTGACTGGGCTGTTGTTCCCCAGGTCTTCCTTTTTTCCCTTTTTAAAAATGGGGTTTATGTTTCCCCTTTTCCAGCTTTAATGTTCAGAACAGTTTGGGTCTGGAATGCAGCCAAGGGCTCAATTCAAGTTCATGGAAGTCAAGGTAAAGTTTCCAATTGGTTTAGGTGGCAACAAGTATAAACATTCTGTTTACAACAAAGAAAAGAAACCAAATATTTTTCACTTCTGTAGTTTTACTTGCAGACAGATGATTTAAGTCCTGGCAACAAGCTAGCTATAAAGCATCACCCCAGATTATATTTCAGAATACAAAAACATGAGATTAAAACACTTGTCTAATTTGTGTGCTGGATAACCTACCACAGAACAGTAGCATAAGCAACTAAAATGAAGCAGAAATGTCTATGAAGAATGCACAAAATTAAAAATACACTACAAATAGATCTAACAATGGAACTGTTATGAGAAAAATGTTGACAAGCTTGTTTTTCACCCTACTATTCTGGAAAAAATCAGTTCTTAAAACTCATTTTCAGCAAATAACCACATTGTCATCACAAAGGCTTTGTTCTCCAGAAGCAGGAAGATTAAGAGTTACAAGAGATGGATAGAAAAGAAAGGGAAGCAGAAAGTGAATAGGAAGAGCAGTAATAATGACAACAGCTCTGCTGACTACTTGGAAACACAAGCAGAAGTAGTTTACAATTGGCTTTAAATAAAGTCCAAGTATCCATCTGGGCCATGTTAATACTACGGTCAACTATCTCAAGAAACAGTAAGGTTAGAAAGGGACTGGAAAATCCCCATGGTGGGTCAGCCGAGAGCACAGCCAATGCCACTTGCAGCCAAGAAAAATAAGGTGAGCACTGAGAGCAAGACTAGAAAGAAAGAAGACTCTTTTAATTTAATTCATAAGAGGACTAGATCTAACATTGGCAAAGTTTAAATCAAGACCAGAATTTTATGCCCCCACTCAGCTAGTAACACACCATCACTTGTATTATGCAAGAGACCCAAATGTATGATAAAAATACTTTCAGCTTTGAAGATCAGAGATTTATTTACTGGTGTATCATCAACTCATCACTCAAC